ATGTGATGTTTGCTGAACATGAAAATTTACTCAAACTTAACAAATTTATAAACATTTAAAATACTTTATTTTGAAAATTTATGACTGAGAAATTCTGCTAGAAACTTCTGAGATGTAATTTCATTCATTACTAAAAGTAATTGAAGAAGAAAAATCTGAATTTATTTTATTTTATCTAAGTCAGTTATAAATAGCAAATAATAATCTTCAGCCATTTAATGAAATGTTTTGTTGCTTTAATATTATTTTAGCATAGATTAGTTCTCCTGTTAATGGCAATGTTTTCTAGATAGATATAACTACTTATATTTTTCTGAACATCATAATCAATACATATATCTTTTAAGTATAACACTAAACCTTACTTTTTTACTGCAAAACTAGCTGTTGAGATCTAAAATTCAGAATGAGCAAATGTTCATCCACAATAAGCATTTAAAATGTATTGTGCATAATTATTAGAGTCTTTTTCCATTTGCCCTTCTGCTTCCTGTCTTCTCTGTTGCCCACCAGAGAGTTGTACATTTAAGAGGAGGAAAGACATCTACTGACTGCAGAGTTGAATTCAGTTAATGTGCCTCAGTCTAGCAGGACAATGCATGTAACACAGCAGGCCTAATTTGCTGTCCATCTCTAGCTATGAATATTGCCACCAAATCTCTGCAGTCAAGGGGTTTTCATTACACTCAGATTCTGTGGTGTGGAATTCTCTGCAAAAATTTAATGACCTAAGTTCTTATTTGAAAAAGTACTCTTTTACAATGGCATTCTACTTGAGTGCCATGAGCAAGTGAAGTATATAAAAAAGGAGATCCGCTGAAAAAAATGAAAATGCACCCTGTCATAGTATTTGAAACAGAGTGTAACCAATGAAACACTTTTCTAAAAGAGCAGTAAAGGAGCAACTTGGTAGCTTTTATATATAAATATATCAACTCCCTGAGAATGGGTTCTTCTAATTGATTGCCAAGTCTATGAGAACACTTCAGTGCATTATTTTCTGGAAGCAGAAAGCATGGCTGTGGCTTTGAGAGGTGGATTCTGCTGAATGTGTGAGGTCATTGTTATGTATAAACTCAAAAGACAAATTCGGCAGGGGAACATCTTTCTTAAAATAGTTGCCACAGTAATAAGAGTTTTATGGTTGGTTTATCAAAGGTGCTGCACACAAAAAAAACCTCTGCTCTATTCAATATCTTGTTCTCATTATTCTTATTGCTAGTAGCACTAATCATTCCCCTATTTTCAAATTGGTCATTGACATTGTGAATTCACTATTGAGAAGAGAAAGGAGGAAAAAAAATGGCACTTTTACATTGGCATAGAAATTTTGGGATAATTTATTAAGAGATCAAAGTTGCAGCACATCCATGAACACTTGTAATTTTTCCTAATTATGTATAAAACTCTTCACGTTGGAGCTGTTTCCTGTGATCAGTTCCTTTGCCACTTTAGTAAGAGCTGGGAAGAGGAGGATGTATTATGGTCCATGCTGCAATTTACAGTGCACAACAAAGTAGGTGCTGTTTTGGCTTGAAGAGAGGTTATCTAGGACCCTTATAGAGGGTCTTAGATAATGACTCAACCTTCCTTAAAACATGTGGGTGTAGAAGCAGAAAACAGACAATTATATTTTCAGAGGATAGTTAGACTCTCAACATTTTAGAGAATATCATTATATGATGAGCTGTTGATATTACTACATTGCAAGTAAATCAGTAAAAAGTTTCTATGTCTGAAAGGGTAGAAAAACACTTTACCAGAATTTTGTGTTTCTGCTAGAAAAGAGCTATAGCTTTAAAGGTAAGCTGAAGTGTTCCTGGACATTTGGCTTTTTTAAAGAGGTGCCTAAACCTTTGAAAGTGCCAGCATTTAAATCACAAGCTGGAAGAATTACCTGGCCTGTCAACACCTGACCCTTGGATGAAGCTATTATATGAAGTGCCAAAATCATAGTAAACACCTACAAGACAGTCCAGTTCCCAGACTTGCACCAGTGCCCTGGCATTGCTCCAGCTACCACTGAAGTTGTAGCCTGGTTCTTCTAGGGAAGAAAACTTCAGTTCTCTGAGAAGAAAACTTAAAGGTCTCCAGGGAAGGAAAAAGTCTATTTGGAAGAAAGTAGCTTACTCCAAAAACCTCTCAAAATATACACAGCAATTTCAAATGTGTTCTGATGCAAGCATCTGTAATCCTGCACTTTAAATTCAGCAAGCAACTGGACTGGAAACACAAAGTAAAATGTCAATAAGAGATTTCAACAAATTTTGAGATGTTGCTATTATACACAAACTGGAAGCATATCTAATCCTTTCTAAATTCAATCAATTCAAATGGAAAGCAATGCATGTAATGATAGAAAAGAAAGATCACTTTAAGGACACTGTTTTTTACAAAAGTGTTAACTAACATCTGCAAACCATAATTGATGGTTGTGAAAATGACAAAGAAGAAGATGATTATGGTGTTGATGAAGAAGAAGGTGATAATAGAAGAACACTTTATTATGTAGGAAGCCGTACCCCAGGCATAATGCCAACATCAATAAATAGTGAAATAATTTATTGTAGTGAAATAACTACAATAAATTTTAAAAAACCCCTCAGATTTGACTGACTTCTAGGTTTTTGTCAGCAAAGCGTTGACCAAGAAAATTCCATTTACTCCTCATTTGGATGTCATGACCTATGAAAAATGCAGCATTTAACAAAACCATTTGAGGTACTGCAATCTAAGGATGCTGCCCCTAATGGTACCAGCACTGTGAACAATATCATTAAAAACTGTTTACCTCCCATGGTCATTGTTCCCACAGTTAAGGGCCCCATTAAGCCTGAGGTCAAATTTAAACTGAGAATTTGGAGACAAACTTCCTGAGTTAAAACATAATCAAATTGCCTTGGGATCATTCCAAAGAGAGAAATGGAGACACATTTTACCTTTTACTTTTGTCATTACAGGAAGAGTAAATACCCTGTAAGGAAAAGAAAGAAGGAGGGGGGGGAAATAGGTTGATGATAGGGAATGACTTAACAGCTCCTTATATTAAATGCTGACAGTGTAGTCATAGAAGTAATAAACCAAGGCCAATATTATTGCTGCCTGCATTTTTAACTCTAGTGGCTGAATTAGACTGTATGATTACTAACTAATAGAAGACATGAATCTGGCAGCTGCTACTCAATTTTACCTGACAGCATTCAGTATCAAATAACATGCTTTTCTCTATGTTTTTAATATAATCAGGAAATGAAAGAATTTGATGTTAGCAAATAATAGAAAAGGATTGGAAAACAACTTTTTCCCTCCCAGTGTCTCAGTTCAGTATGCATCAAAGGAGAATTAGGAAAAAAAAAAGGGAAAAAAAAGAGGAAAATTAGTCATGGTTCTTTTAACACCTGTAAGAACAAATTAAAATGAAGACAAAACTCAGCAATTTATGAATAGCCTTTCTTACATATCAAAGTTATTATAGCTCAAAAGGAAAAACAATCCCTACAGGGATTTAAGTGACAAAACTTCTCCTTCTTAAATTAAGTATTGTTTATATTACACATAATTCAGAAAGTAAAACTCAGCCCCACAGGAAAACACATTCATTGTTTCAAACTCACATTCATTAATTCAATGTTACTTAGAGGCTGAGTTTATCTTTAAAAGATGTGGTGAATCAATCAAAGACAAGTAATTCATAAATTTATTTTTTCCATAGATGTGAAAGCTTTTACAAAATTAGATGGGTTTTTTTCTTTCCTTTTTTTTCAGGGTAGAAATGAATATTTGAATAACTGTTTCCAGATACAGTTTTGGGCCCTTTTGGGACTAAAAATTTCTAATTAAGATTATGCAGCCCTTAGACAAATTACTACAGTATCCTTTTTTACTATTTTCTATTCAGAAATGTAGGCCAGCCAGCATTAACCAAAGTTCTGTGTCAAATAAAGCACACTGCATTCCACTTCTGACAGCCATGTGTGTACTCCATTAATGGGGTTTCTTGCTTGCTCAAGCAGCTCTGTATTAAGTAGGAGTACAGTTACATCTAACAGCAATCTATATTGTTAAAAGGAAGTTGTTAATTCTACAAATGCACTGAGGGATATTTCAAATTAAAAAATCACACCAGATGTAGCTGCTGGCATGATTCTAAGACAGGATTCTAGATCTTATTAGACCAGTTCTGACTTTTCTCAAAACAGTTTGGAAAAGGCAATTACTTCACATGGACTGCATTAAGATAGTTCTAATGTTTTCATAGAAATAATTGAAAAGAAAAAAATCTAGGTAAAAGCTGTCATGTAATTAATGTGCAGTGGAATAGTTAGTCACAACTTCAGTTGCTACCAGTAGCAAAACTATCCTTACCCAGATTTGTGCTAAGCATTGTAAAAATGAATGGGAGAAAAAGCTTTAGTTGGGGCACATCCCTAGGGCAAAGAAGGGAATCTCAGCTCCCTAAACACACTCAGGTGGGTGTTGCTCCTGCTCCCTTCCTGGATGCAGTGAAAATGAGAATTTCCCCAGAATCTTTATTTTATAAAGATATATTAAAAGCACTGTGGGTATTTAGGTTAACTGTGCAAGAGTCAGGGGCTGCCTGTATCCTTCATAGATAGTGCCTCAGGAATATATTCCGGCTGGGTAAATTCCAGAAAGCTAAGTATGTTTTGCGCAAAAATAGAAACGTGCCCATTTAGAGGTTTGAAATGACTAATTACGAGAATTCTGAAGCGTTACTTTGCTCTTTCTGGGTGGACTAGAGAGATTAGAAATTCCTGATTTGCATAAGGCATTTGTCAAAATAAGTAGAGAGAACACAGAGAGAAACAGGTAGAATAGATATAGATAGGGATGATAAATACAGGAATGTAAACTTACTCTTATAAGCAAATTCTTTTTTTTTTTTTTTTTTTAATTACAGAGCAGTAGTGGGGCCATCGGAAAAACCCAAACAAACTATTCAACACCTGACCTGTAGTGCATGACCCAAAGCCTGAGGATGCAAGTAAACCTTTAGGTCACAAGGCTGTCTCTGTTAGTCCTTACCAGCTGTTGCCGCAGTAATACCAGTGAATAGTAGGAGACAAGGTGGAAGGGTGTTGGTAACACACTGGTGTTTTGGTGTTTTGGTGTTTTGAGCACTGCTGAGCAGCACTGGCACAGCAACAGCACTGTCTCTCCAACATTCCTCCCCCATGAAGGGGCTGGGGGTGGGCAGGATCCTGGGATGACACAACCAGGCCAGATGATCCAAATTAACCAAAGGGATATTCCCTATCATATGGCATCAGCTTAGATATAAAAGTTAAGGAAAGTAAGAGAAAGTGGGGGCATTTGTTATTTTAGTGTTTGCCTTCCATAGCAACCAGTCTGTGTGCTGAAGCTCTGCTTTCTGGGAATTGGCTGAACATCCCTCACTGATTGGAGGTACAGATTAAACTTTATTTTCTCCTTGCTTATTATGCATGTGCTAACTTTCACTTTTTTTGCTTTAGTAAACTGCCTTATCTCAACCTGTGAGATATTTTCCATCTCATTTTCTCTACCCTCTCCCTCTGGGAAGGGAGCTGATAGATTGGCTTGGGGGGCTGCTGGCATCCAACCAAAGTCAACCTGCTGTACTGCCTTTGCATATCTTTATTGTTGTTGCTTTTATTTGAATGACATAGATATAGTGTGTATATAAATACATATTAAAAATGTGTATGTATAGCTATACTACACAGACAATTAATAACAGACAATTCTAGAATAATCAACATATTAAAGCTACAAAAGTGTTTAAGAGCATGCTAGTCCAAACCTTCTATCTTAGTAATTGGGAGCAAGTAGAACGACAATAAGCTCTTAGAATTCAAATCTCAGACTATGCAAGGCTATAAAAATCAACATTAATATTCTGAATTGTATCTGAAAGCACATTCAAAGGCAGAAAGGAATTTAGTGCAGGTGTCAGCAGGATTGACAAAAATTTTTCTTCTGCATCCAGTTAGAGTAAAAAAACCATAAGAGATGATGATCTTAACTTATTCCAGAATATTGAAAAGGAGATGTCTTTGAAAATTAAGACTCTCTCTAATTGTGATTACCTTGGCAAATAAAGGCAACTATTTCATGAAAGAGCCTTACAATATTTTTATTACAGCTTGCCTGCGATATTTATATTTCTTCTGTTTTTCAGACCTGAAGATCTATTTTGATTCTTCCCAGAAGCCATAAAAGGAATACTCCATCAGGTTTAACTTCAGTAGGTAGTGGCTATTATTATCAAAGGTTTATGCCACATTACCCACAATATTTAAATCAAGCTAAAGATCCTAAATTTTTAGGCATTGCAATAAAAAAGCCATTTTTAGACCAGAAAGTCAGTTTGATATCGACTGTCTTCAGTTTTCTACTCCAAATAATATGTCCCTAGTCTGACAATAAAATGGCAACAGATAGAAACTAAGAGTAACATTCTATTTATTTTCTACCCTAGAGTAACAAAGTCTTATTAGACTCTTGTTTGCTATTGAATTCTGACAAAAAGCATCTGAAATTAAGAATACTTGTGTTTTCAGTGCATACAATTCAATAAAAGAGAAGGAATAAGATAAAATAATAATTTTATTTATTTTTCGTGATGTTATTTCATTGAACCAAAATCTGTGAGCTACCCAATATTTTAAGTTTGCAGCAACTTATGTCCCCAGATATTTTCAGTGGCTGAATTGCCATCATTTTCTAGTTGTATATTGAAAAATCTATCATATTAACTGTCACTTATTATTATTAATTAAGATATGAAGAAGAGCTCTGACAGGAGTATTTCTTCTCCCTAAACTTGGCAATGAATGCAGGCCAAGTTTCCATACTGAGATTTCATTCCTTCAATGGGATATGTAGACTGGTGAGAAGATTTATACTAAATTAAAAACAGTATGCATTATATGGTCTCATGCTGCTGTCCTAGGTTTTAATTTTCACTTTCTTGTAGCTTTTATAAAAAAGCTATATTGTCTTCAAAATTTCTTTCTCCACTCCAGACACACTACTCAAGAAAATACTAGAAATGACAGAAACAGAAGCATTATAAGGTGCCACTTGGAGCTGTAATCAAGCTGTTCCTAATAACTCCAAGAAAGAGCTGGAATCTGCTCGCTGTGGAGCCTGGAAGGTGTGCACTGCCAGTCATCTCTCCTAATTTAATGCCAGAGTCATCCAACTTTCCAGCGTGGAAAGCACACATCAGCAATACATTTTCATTAGGGTACAACTAAAAATTTAGATTTCTAGGTATTTTTACTTGGTTACAGTTTAACAAAAAAATAATCTCACTGACATTTGAATGCATGTTATCTCAGTCTATTAAAAAGAGCAAAAACTCTCTCCTCCCAAATAGGGAGCCTAAGAAATACAGCTTTTACAAAGATAAAGCCATGAAACAATTATATCATTCTACTAACAGGTTCCTTTTCTTTTAATGAGAGGCTTTTTTTGATAGAGAAATTTAAGTGATGAAATATCTTAAATTCCCCATGAAAAACTAAAAATTTTGCAATTATTCAGTTTGCACAGAATTTTCTTTAGATTTCTGCATAATTCCTGAGAAGTTTTGGACATCTTTAGCACAGAGATTGTCTTCCCCTGTAAGCAAATAGCTGTGAAATACATTAAGTGAGTCTGCATTTGTCACATCTGTCTAGCATGCTAATTTCCATAATGGATGACAACTCACAGGTGCCTCCAGTTGTTTTATATTAATTTATATGATCCACAGAAGGCATCTAAATTTTCCACCCTTGAAACTCTGCATAAAACAAGAGTATTTTTAGTTAAAGCAGTTACTGGGTGACCTAGGCAGCAGAGAACTTGCATGGGAATACAATTCCCTGATTGTACTTAGTGGAACTTAAGAGAATAGTACCAACTATACCTTTCTCATTTTTTAGCCATTTGACTTGAGTCTGATTTGTCAAAGTGCAAATGCAGTCAACAGAAATTGTGCTTTGAATGCAATATAAACACTCTTCAAAATGAGATCATACATTTTTTATATTGGACACTTAGAATTTCTAGAAACCATTGAATTTAATCAATCAAAGGGCAACACACCTGTCCTAGGATGTTGTTATGGTGCTTGTATCCCCATTTGTGTGTTCTGTTCATGCTGGATATTATGTTCTGTGCCTTCAAGACTGGCTTTGAAGGGTGGAAGTTTTGTTTTGGTTTTGCTATCAGCTGCTCCCCCATGGCTGGTGGGACACACAGACGGGGCAGTACATAGCGCTGCTTTTGGCTTTTTGCTTGGCTTTTTGCTTTGCTCTTGTTCTTGCTTCTGCTTTACTCTTGCTTTTTGCTTCTGCTCATTAGTTAGTTTAGCTAAGCAGTCCAAATTTTCCTTGGACTGTTTCTCCTTTCCCTTTTATTGGGCCTAGTTGAACCTGCTTGGGACTGGGACCTGGGAACACCAAGAGTTTGCACCCTGTGGCTGCAGCAGCTGCCCCAGCGCCAGAGGGACTGATAACAGAGCAACTACTCCCAAGAGAGACTTTCTGAATTTGTCACCTTTTCAGAGAGGTGAAAGAGCGGTGTCATCCGGTATTGTTCATTTTGTGTGCTGGGGGGTGCTTTGGCTGTTAAATAAACAGATTCTTTCCACTTCTCTCTGAGGAATCTTTCCCAAACTGCTTGGGGGGAGGAGCAGTGTGGGTTTGCTCACTGGAGGGGCCCTCTTATGGAGGTTTCCTCCCAAATTTGCCCTAAACCAGGACAAAACTTTATTTAATACAGTGGGTATAATACTGTGTTTATTTTACAAGACCTTATGGAAATAAAAAATCACTGTTATTTGTGAAAAAGACAAAATTCTGAATGCAAATGGGGGAAATGGCACAAGATGTGTAACACTGTTTTATGAAAAGCAGTTGAATGCAAGTCCATGTATCGCAAAATGAGAAAATATATTTTAGCATCTATTCAATCACATTGGAAAAATATTTCATAACCATACAATAAATATTATAATATAGCAGGATTAATAATTTTATTTTCAGTTTTCCATTAAAAAATTTAAATGCTTAGTTAAAGCTCTATGATTCTTTTTTTTCTTTCACACTCTTTAATAAACATCTGGTTTTTTATTTAAGAAAAGTGTTCAAATTATATAGTGAATCACATAAAACTTTTTAAAAAAATATGGGACTGGTATTACAGATTAAGTTTTTAATACCTCCTTCAAATACCTAACTCAATGCACAAGGCATGAATCTCTCTTTGTATCTGGAGAGAATTAGGTAGCTCTGTGAGGGTGGGATGCACTTCTACACAGCTGTGAAGAAATGCAACAAAGCATTTCTGTGATTCTATTTTAAGACTGAATTACTGTAATTTTGGTGCATTCAGCTCCCATAAATCACAGCAGAAATTTTTTCATTCCACAAAGTAAAGGAAAAAAAAGCTTTAATTTAAACTGGATTCTCCTTAATTCAAAGATGTTCTTTGCCTTGTGGCTCTGCTGTTTCTTGTAGTGTTCCTAGAAACCATAGTTTTAAAATTATTTTTAGCCTTTAGGCAGCACAGAATACCAAATAATACAAAATAATGCAAAGTCAAAAAAAATCCCTTGGTAGCATTGTGTCAGCTAGATACATTATATTCTAAAAAATAAATTAATCCTGTCCTGAATTAATTGGTGTTTACTACCTGCATTAAAAATGTACTAAGAAACTTCCATGTTTTATTTTGCAAGATTTTTGCAGTTTCTTTCCTTCAACAAACGAATCAAATTAAATAGTTACATTTATAAACATAAATAATGTAGATCTCTATATAAGAATCTTATCTGAAAAAACCCTAGTACAAGCAGATTCCAGCTTTACTTAGAGAGAAATATTTCACATTTTTATTTTTTAATATGGTGGTATCAAATATCAGTCTTAGCTGCTTCTTCTGAAAGTTAAAGTCCTCTATTTCTTCAAAGAAAAAAAATATGGCCACTGTGCCCGTGGTGTAAACACGCTTAGGAGGCCCTTGAGGGCCCAATCCAACCCAGCTGGAGACAATGTCTGTTTTTTGATGGAATTCAGTGTATAGTTGAATTGAGCCTTAAGGGTAGTACTGACTGAAAAATGAGTTATATCAAACTCTAAAAGAAAAAGCTCATCTCGGCCACAATCCAAATCACGTCAGTTTTAATAGCAGCTGAATCTGCCCTCAGCCCTTGGCCGTTCTCTGAATCTTACCAGCCAAGTGGTGTTTAGTGCAATACCAGTAGGCAGTATGCAAGGAAAACAAAAATCACAATAAAATTCAATGTAAGTGATAGATAGATTCTTTTACCCCCAAGAACATTGCTTTTCTAACCAAAGTCTACAAATCTTGTGATTTTCAACATTTTGTGGATGCTCCCGTAAATATTACAAAGTGTGATTCAGTGAGACACGTAATTGGAGAAGTCAACATAGACATTTCAGGATATGCAGATAAATAAATTTTTCAATGTAATGTGATTTTTGATAAAAAACCTTTTATAGAACTGCTAAAGTAAAGCAAGATCTGCATTGGATACTGAAGGCTGAATTCATTACTCAATTAAAGCAACTAGCTGTATGCAGCTCCACTCAGAGATGTGAAAGGCAGCAGCTCTGCTTGAATATTTCATTTTAATTGTGATAATATTGGCTTTCTCCCCATGAAAAGCTTTAAATGGAGAATGAAAAATAATAAAATATATTCTTTTAATCATATGCAAAGAAGAGAGGAGAATAGTCTCAAATGTGAGAGTAGAAAATAATTAACAATCACAGAAAATGATAGCTTTGTTATGCTGATTAAGACACCATGAATGAAGCTTGATACTGGAAGGCATCAGAAATTTATGCTATTCTCTTTTTATACATGTCTGTGGAATTAGGTAAATTCAGGTTATAGAAATACAAGGAGATCTTTTGGATTTGGTTTTTATTTTAATTTATGAAGGGCTAAACAAATAACATTTTTTCACTAATCAGTGAAGGAAAAATCATTCTGTTTTTCCCTAAAGCAAATTGGTAGCACTCATTGAATTAATCACCAATAATTCATGAATTAGTATCAGTTTAGGCAGATTTGCAGATGTTTTATGTCAGGAAAGAAATACAAACCAGATTAGTTGTCCTGCCTCTTGAATTCTCACAAGCTTGACAGCAAATGGAACTAGCAATTTAGTGGCAGTTGAAGAGATAATCCTTTCTTAATGCTTCAATTTTTGCCTTTTCTTGAAGACACATAAAATGTTTTCCAGCTAGCAGAAGAAGTTCAGAAAACTTTGCTTTTCTGTCACAAGTATGAGGAAAATATGTCATTCCAAGATTCACTCCCTGTAATGAATGGGTTGTGTATGGTCTCTAAGACGAAAGTTTTATCTTTCACAACAGACTTTTGCTAGAATTAATCCCTTGGGGATTAATTCCCACTCTTTAATATCATCTGAGTGGAGGTTCTCTTTGCTGGTACACATTAAGTAAATACAATTTTATAACAATAAAGCAGGTTCAGCTAAAGTAATAAATGAGCTTCCCCAAGGAAGAGACACTATTCCAATAAATGACACTGAGCAAGGAATCTGATAGTTCTCTGTGCAACCTGGAAGATAGTAATGTTTCAAAGACTGAAATTCAGGCTGGTGTGAATTGGTCTTCCACTTAAACATCTTCAAATTGCCAGCAACTTTTCAATGGTTATTTTCTCCCTAAAAGGCATATTTCAGTATGGATACTATGGAGAGCTATTATGTGCTGCAGGGTGCTGGGTAAGCAGAGGTAGGAAAAGGCTCCCTCTGGTCTCACAGATGTCAGCAAACTCTCCCAGAATCACAGTAGCTTCAGGGATAAACAAGAGAGACTTCAGCTCATTCTGCTATTCTGAATTGGCCTGCTGTGAGTTTGTCAACCTCAGATGTGAGCAAGGGGCAGAGATTACAATGACTGCTTTAGAAGTACCAGAGCATTGTGCTAGAAGGAGAAACAAGAATTTTCTCTCATCAGTGAAATTGAGGTAAATGGGAGAATATTGAGTAGTTTTAGCCATAAATTTGGCTGGAACATCTTTAAATTACAGCCCCTACCCAATGCAAACCAAAACAAGAAGGCACATAGTGTTGAAAATTCTCTTCAGTCCAAAACCATGACAAAATGCTGTTTCTCTCAGTCACTGGGCACATCAAACTGTTCATTGAGACTGTGACTCTTCAACCCAAAACATTCTCTCCTAAGAACTCTGATCTGGGAATCACTAAGCCCATGCATCTGAACACCTGAGAGGCATCATGTAGACATTTTTACACCTATTTCTACACCTGAAGGGTTCTTAGTGTTTTACCAAAGCCATCTCAGGTGACATTTCTGCTGCACTTGCACTACTTCTTGTCAGGCTTGTCCCCCATTGGGTCATGTGGCTCCTGTTACAGTAATTCTCATAACCTGCAACTCAAATAATGGATTATAAGAATTTAAAGGTATATCCATTAAAACCCCAACCACTGGTCCCTTTAGACCAGACTTTACCATTGCAGTGAACTGCTCCCATTGCCCTTTCTCTGGCCCGTGGGTGCCTTGGATTGTACCTGCTCCAAGTGAAGCTTTATCTATGAGGTGCAGACTCCAGGGTTACACCTGATGTGCCTTGGGCTAGTCTCATGCACAGCCACTGATTCTTCAAGGAGCTGCAACATGAACTGTTGGTATCTTGAGGTGTGTCTTCTCCAGAATGGACTTATCCTCAGGTCCCTTCCAAGGTATACCTGCTGTGGCACAGTGTTGAAAACATTTTTGGAAATCTCTGTACTTGCCATCTCATGAGAATTCAACACGTCACAGAAACTTGCACAAGACTTCCCATTTATCTTCCTTCTTCACATAGAGCACAAGGCAGGAAGGGCATGAAAAAGGGAATAGTGACAGGAAGTTTCTTTCATAGCTGTAATGAAGCTTTCTCAGAAGGCAAATCAATGTCTGCAAATAGTGGCCCGTGTGTACTTGAAATGTAGCAGTCCCTTTCTCTTTTTAGTAGTTATAGTTTTTTGGTTCTTTCATTGATGAAGAGAGGAAGAAAGCACATGGACAAAAAATTGCAATAAGATGAAAAATGATCCCTACAAACAGTTTTCCATCTTCCTAGATTCAGAGGTATATGAGATTAAGACTGTGAATGCATCAGTATAGAAAAATAGAGCATCTGACTCAGTTTTTGACTTGACGCTGACCTTTTAAACACACTTGAGGAAACAGCATGTGTTGTGCTTATTCAAAGACCTGTAACCTGCAAAAATTCCTTTTTCTGCATCCTCAGATTTCACAGTCTTGTCAATGCATCTGCAAAAG